TGGCACAATGTTGTATTGCATATACAACGCATATAAATGGCTTTTTCTTTACCAGTCTAGCTAGCGATTTATATGCCTTGTATGTGCGATATAACATTGTGCCACCAGATGGTGATGTGGAGTTCCATTTTTCTCTACTTGTTCTCCCTGTTTAAATTTACAGCACCTTAAACTGAAACACTTCTTTGATGTGTCTAGATCCAGTCATAGTTGCAAGTATACATAGAAGGTTTATCGCAGGCTGTGGTGGCTGCGTCTGAGTAGGAATTATCCTTTTTACACAGCTGTCATGTGCTGAAATGGCCATGGGGGCCATCAGTGATAGTAGTATAGTTATATATAGCTATAGTTAGTGGTAGAGCACATGCAGAAAACCCCATCTTCAGTCCCTGGCAAGCCCAGGTAGGGTTAGGAATGTCCCTTGCCCAAAAGCCTGGAAATATGCTGAGCTATAGCAGACAATGCTCAGTTAGATGGATCAATGATCTGACTTGGTATAAGGCGTTTCCCCATGTTTCTATATTCCTCTCTTGACTGGTAGGGCTGGGAAGAACTCCACTATGAAATCTAACAGCCACTGCTAGCCAGCGTAGAGTAATCTGAGCCAGATGAACCAACAATCTCATTTAGTATAAGGCAACTTCCTGCGCTCCTAAAATGCCCTTAGATTAATATAAATTAACATGCAGATTTTGCATTTGTCAATAGTGCTGTGCCACACTCGGCTTTGGCAGCTGCCAATTTGGAAATAGAAAGTAAACTGGGAAATGAAGTTCCAAGAAGGAAACAGTTCTATATAGCAGAGTAACCCCATATGTAAAGCCTAACTTGACATTGCTCTTAGAGAGTCTCCATTTCTCCACATTTTGTATCTTTAACCAGGGATGTAAAATATACAAATACCTTCATAAGGCTGCTGGAAATGCAACTATTCTAACCCCAAAGAACCAAAGGTGCTCCCTTTGGGGAACCCATGGTAGTTTTAAAGATCCAGCTCTATACTGAATCCAAATCTGGAATACTGTCATATGATGATACCCTCAAATTGAAACCTTATATATACTTTTAGGGTAAATTTTACCTTCGAGGATTTTGAGGACAGGAAGAGCATATTTCTGGCTTTAGGTTCTCAGTAATTTAATAACGTTTTGGACAGATTGTTTGGCTTTCATCCTAATAGCCTAAATAAATATTTCCCAACTGCCAAGTGCAGACAGCATTACCCTTTGGTTTCAGTTGGACTGGGCTTGTTCAGTTGCATGGCTGCAAATGCACTGTGCATGAGAAGATTACTTTCTACCCAAAAACCGCAACCCTTGTTTTATCATAATTGATATATCGTGTTGAAACTTACGAAAGTTTCCCAAAGCTGACAACAGATGCCTCAAGCCAATTTGTGCGTAGGAGAACAAGACCATATCACTAATGCATTTAAAGAGAGTTTGGGGCCTCTTTACCAGCTGGAGAACAGTGATAAAGCATGGGTTGATTTTAGTTTTTGAATGTTTAAGTGGGAACCGCCTAGGGTGTAAGACAAGAAAGTTAGTCAGAAATGCCTGCTTATTAATGGAGTTTGCCACATCACCTTATCTTTTTCTTTAGTATGGACACATATTAGTGCATATTTGAAATCACTGGGAGTTAACTTTGGCTGCTTATACACCCTATATTTAAGCAACCACCCTCTCTGAATCATGGGAACTGTAGTTTAACCACCATAGTGCTACAGTTCTGAGCACCCTTAATGAACCACAGTTCCTAGGAATCGGGGGGAGGGGGTAGTGAACGTGCTATTAATGTATGGTGTTTATGAAGAGTTACGCACATTCAAGTACTATCCCGAATAAGTTGTGTCTTGCACTAACAGAGCCCAGTGATTCAATTGTGCCGTGACTAGCAGCATGTAAACAAGCAGATGCAAGCGGAAATCCTCTCAATTGGATTAAAGGGCTGAGAGATGGGTGGATAAAGGGGTAGAGCTCATGTGGTTTTTCCGTATGTACACACACACACAGCAGTGCATTTAGACTAATTGGAGAAACTTCCCCAAGTGCTGTTATGTGTTTATATGAGCATGTTTTTAAAGATGATTGCTGCCAACTGAGGCCATGTGCTCTGGTTCAACTCTACTTCTGCTTTCAAAAAGGCAGTCGTGCATGACAAGGTTAGCAGAATGTGGGCGGGGTTGCAGCGTTCAAATGTCCGCCCTACAGAAGGCAATGTAGCTCAGTGTCTGCACTCAGATGCCAAGTAGATTTATGCCCATGCTCCCTCATCCAGGAAGTGATTTGCATCGGAAGCACACCCATGGCCCACAGAAGCAGGCTTATATGCGCACCAACCGCTCGGATTCAAGTCAGCAGTGTACAAAATAGCAAACCATTTCATCTAAGTTCTATGAAATCCTCAAGGATGTATAGTTGCCTGATTAAAATTAAGGCTCTGGGACCCCAGCTGCATCACATTGTAAAGGCAGGGTGTGTACGCTTCCATTCAGAGAGATCAGATTTATACTCCCTTTGACATTAGAGACTGAGGGAATGCAGATGGCAGCTGTAGCTTCCTTTGTCAGGTAATTCATGAAGAGGCTCTTCTGTTGCCATTTCATGGCATCTTTTCATGCTTTCTCTCAGCAGGAAGCACAGCTTTGGGGAAACGGATGCATTGGAGAAAATCTGGGGAAACAACACTAAACTGCCCCAATAAGCCTGACTTTCAAAATTGTCTATCCTGTATGCATGCTTAACTAAAGTCAAAGGAAAATGAGAGAGAAGCTAAAGTAAGTCTACATCTGGGCAGGGTTGCTTGAGACTACCCTTATTTAGATGCTCCATTCTCAAGGAGAGAAATAAAAATATTCCATGTAAACTGAATGGGGACATACTTTAAGCCCTAAGAGGGAAGGCTTAACTTACTATGTCATTAACACTCTAACTTGCTACAGGATATCATTGGGGTCAAGGGCTTAAGAGGGTTCAAACGCCGATTAGACATCTTTAAAGATAATGAGAACTTCCACAGATGCATTAGATAGGATTTTTTAAAAAGAAGTGCTATAAACCGTCAGACTTCCAGAGCGTAAGCCAGCCGGGCTGCCTCTTGTAACCTTCTGTGTAGTCTGTTAATGTTGGTCTGGGTAGTTAAGGCCGCCAGGGCTTCATTCAGAGATTTTGCCTGTCTGAGGCACTCAGGCAAAGTGGCCATGTGCCCTACAAGGAACTCTTTGAGGGAAGGGCTGTTGCTCAGTGGCAGGGCGTCTGCTTTACATGCAGAAGATCCCTGGCTCAATCCACAGCATATCTAGACAGGGCTAGGAATGTCTTCTGTCAGTCAGAGAGTCACTGTCAATCTGTGTAGACAATAATGGACCAAACAGAAGGTGTTCTGAAAAGGTCCTCAATCTGAAGAGCAGCCTGGTTCAGGTCTGGTTGAATGATAAAGAACCATAAGGAGTGAGGGCAGTTGGAACTGGGACAGCATAGTCCAGATACATCCCCTGGTCACAGTCTTTCCCACTATTTCATTTTAGCTCAGTTTTTATGAAATATAACCCCAGAGCCTGATACATTAAAACCAACATAGCATTAAAACCGGAAACATCATGACACGAAGTCCAGTTTGGGCAGATACGGCATCTCACTATGGTGAGATGCATTGTATTTATATTAAAATTATGTTAATTTTTTCTCAGTTTCTATGGATAAAGTAGCATATACATGTTTTATGTGAATCTCTGTCCCTTTTTATCCTCTATCTTTTGGGTGATGCAATCTGGCCACCGTACTTTCAGGACACTTGCACCTCACAGTCTGCCTCTCTTCGTGTCTTTTTGTCTCCTCTAGAGAAGAGACATTGTGTCCTTAGGCACTTATTTCCTAATCAAATACACCTCTCTTTTATTGGGGAGGGGGAGAGAATATCTTCACCTTTCAGTATCATGAGCATGCTGCATTTTTTGTGGTGAGGTAGCAGGAATCTCCTACATTTTATTTAGCTTTGAGAATCAATTTACAACTTGCCCATATCCATATTACAGATGCTCTGTAAATTGGGAAACCTGCCTCTGCAACTAGTAACTCTGCAACTAATAGCGAATTATTTCACAAATTCCCCCTCTTGTAGAATTCACCTTCTTCTCAGTAAATTTTAAAAGCTGGTTTGATAATCTTATTTTTCGTGGCAGGGTGCTGGGAAGGGGGGGAAGGCACCCTGTAGAGCGTTGCTATAGACGCTTCCAATAACTTGTACATATTCCGAGGCAAAATTACTTGGATAGTTTATATGAGGACAAATTTGTCATCTTGTATAGTTAAGCTCAGTTGTTTATCTGTCAGAGAATCCTCCCTTGGGGCCATCTGAGCAGACAATACTGATTTCTTTTTATGAGTAAAGGAGGAAAGCTGGCCTGGCCTTTATGGTACATTTCTGTTTTAAGTAAGGAGATGTTTCATAAACAAAAAAGGCTCACTAGACAAAGAATTGATGGACAATACCCAATAAAAGCCAATACAGTGGTACCTCAGAAGTCGAAACAAATCTGTTCTGGAAATCCATTTGGCTTCCAAAATGCTCGGAAACCAAGGCACAGCTTCCAATTGGCTGCAGGAGGAATTGGAAGCTGCAGAAGCCGCGTCGAACGTCCGGGTTCCAAAGAACGTTTGCAAACTGGGACACTCAATTCCGGGTTTGCAGCATTTGGGAGTAAAAACGTTCCAGTTGCAAGGCGTTCATCAACCAAGGTACAACTGCATTAAAAACAAGTCCAGACCTTTGTTTTCCAGTTGAAAGGCCAAAAGGGGACTGTGCTCCATATCTGGCAGAGATTTTACTTGATGAATATTTCCTTTTTTCAAGTCTATCTCCTCTTGGAGATAACGTAGAGAATCGGGCCTTTAGTATAAATTTGCTTCAGAGAATTCAGCTCTTAGCCATTCAGTTATTTGCTGCTGAAGGACTAACTTCCGTGATTCTGCCTGACACGGGATTTATGCCAGGAGTGCCTGGCTAATTCTCATGGAACACTGCAATTATCACCTACAGGATAGGTGTTAAGTGCTGCCTTCAGAAGGCAATTATCAGCTCTCCTCCTTTCCTGAGCAGGAACACAGAAAGTGCCATTCATTCTCAATTTGAAGTAGAGGATCAGAAAGGAATGCTTGCTCTGCATCTACAGCAAAGAGAGGCTAGAATGGCTCCTTTTCTTTTAATCTTGCTTCTATTCCCACACAGCTAATGATAAGAGGGTCCTTGCAGTCCTTTGAAAGTGCAAGAAGAAGACAGAAGTCTATCCACCTGAGTGGAAAGTAGAGACCTTCCCCCAGGTATCCTGAAGTTAGTTAGAAGGTGCTTTCTTCTTCTTCTTCTTCTATGAGGGAGCCAAACTGTATGAAGCACCAGCTCCTTGGCTATTAAATATGAGGGTGCAGAATATGAAACTCAATGCATTCTCTCGCCTTTGAAAGTCTGTCTCTGAGTGATTTATTTATATAAAAACCTTTGCAGAGGCACCATCCATTTTGGATTCTTTGTTATGAAGCCAAATCCCTCCAGGTGGCTCAACCAGATGCTAGCACCTTGACGACGCCCTAGTTTGTATACTATTTTAATAGATACTAATTACCCATTCAGTGTCATTACTGTGTCTTTCTGGCTCTGGCTCCAAAGTTACAGAGCAAGTTTCAACAGTCATGTAAATGGATCTCTCTCTCTCATATGCGAGACTAGAAAGTGGGTTAAGAGTTTGTGAGATGAGCTGGTCCTTGTCTGCGCTTAGTATCTGGAAGCCTTGTTAGCTTTCAGTTTTCTCAGTTCTTTGGCATTTCCTCTTCAGCTGAGATTATACTCGAGTCTAAATTTTCATGCTTTTGGAGAATAAGGATAAACCTCATGCCATTCCTTTGATCTTCTATGAAACAAAGTGAAATTTCTAACTGAAATGCAGTGCTCAGCTTTATTAAACCCAGTGGGGTGGGAAGCAGGAATCCTTTTTCCTCTTACAGTGGTACCTTGGTTCTCAGACGCCTTGGTACACAAACAACTTGGAACCCAAACACCGCAAACCTGGAAGTAAGTCTTCAGGTTTGCAAACTTTTTTCGGAAGCCAAACACACACTGTTTTGAGTGTTATGCTTCCAATTTGAGTGCCACACTTCCATTTTGAGTGTTATGGTGAGGTCTCTCTGTTTTTCCTATTTATTTTGCATTTTTGTTTTTGCGGCTCTTTTTGTTTTCTTTTTGTAACTGTGAGGAACTCAGTTCAGCTACTGATTGATTTATTGCAGTGCATTTATTGCAGTGCATTGCTTTCATTTTATGGATCATTGGTCTCGTTAGATAGTAAAATTCATGTTAAATTGCTTTTTTCAGGGTTGTTTTTAAAAGTCTGGAACAAATTAATCCAATACTTTCTATAGGAAAGTGCGCCTTAGTTTTGGAACAGACTTCTGGAATGGATTAAGTTTGAGAACCAAGGTACCACTGTCCGTATATTCTGGTGAATTAGCCAGCCATCCTGGACTATCAACCAGTCATAATGTAACAAAAGAAATACAGTGGTACCTCAGGTTGCAGACACCTGAGGTTATAGACACTTCAGGTTACAGACTCCACTAACCCAGAAGTAGTAGTACCTGGGGTTAAGAACTTTACCTCAGGATGAGAACAGAAATCACACGGTGGTGGCACGGTGGCAGCAGGAGGCCCCATTAACTAAAGTGGTACCTGAGGTTAAGAACAGTTTCAGGTTAAGAACGGACCTCCAGAACGAATTAAGTTCTTAACCAGAGGTACCACTGTACAAGGTGAATCATTGTGCCCAAATGAACCTTTCAATACAAGGGCCATCCTTGCTAAGAACCTGTGAAAATGTGGGGGACGGAGAAAACAAGAAAGGTCAGTACATCTGGATGTTGATCAGATTTGGACAAATCCCCAAACCCCAATTTGAAGCACTGTGCCTCAGAGGAATTATTCGCAAAACAACAACAACAAACCTATGGTTACATGGAACATACTCAAAAAACACACAAGACGTAACCGGCTGTAGTTTTGAATAAATAAGGTATACAAATTTTGTATCTGTGGACTGCTATTACTTTAGATCTGAAAACTGATTACATTTATGTACGAGTTTACATGTATAACATCTAAGCATGGATTGCCTTACTTCTGTTGTGCCATATGGGTCACTTTAAGAAAGAAATTTTGTATCTGTGGATTGCCAACACCTGTTACTCAAACCAATATTGTGTTTGTCCATATAATCCTGCTTTGTAACAGTCGCTGCTTACTGCAACCACTACTATGCTATAAGATCCACTATCCTGTAATATTGCATATGGTATGTACAGTTGTTTATGGTTTTTTACATTAATTTTGCTGTAAAAATGTGTGAGATTACGATATTGTATTTATTTGCATTACCTGGAGCCTGTTCTACTGATGAAGCCTAGGATGGCGAAACAAGGCTAATATTCCGGAAATCCTTGTCTTAGACTAGAAAGGATTCTGTGGAACTGTAACGATATACGATATCTTTATTGTCATTGTCCCATGCAGAACAATGAAATTGAAAAACTACATAAAACTACTACAAAACTACATAAAACTACTACAAAACTACATAAAACATTCAAAACCCCCTAAAAACTCTGAAACCCCATTTTAAAATACACTATACTATAGAGACCCCCTATGCTGCGTTTAGAACCAGAATTGCATTTGCGTAGAAACTGTTTCTCAGGCGACTAGTCCTGGCCTTTATAACCCTATACCTCCTTCCAGAAGGCAGAAGCTGAAAGAGATCATTTCCGGGGTGCGTACTATCCTGCGCTATCTCTGCCGCTTTCTTATGGCACCTGGCAGCATAGATTTGATCTAAAGTGGGAAGAGTGCACCCAATTATTCTCTCTGTAGTCTTTACAACCCTGGATAGCATTGTTTTTCCCCTGGCCGTGCAGCTCCCAAACCACACACACAGACCATAAGTAAATACACTCTCCACAGTGCAATGGTAAAATGCCATCAACAGGTCCTTTGAGAGATTGTTTTTCCGGAGGATTCTCAGAAAATATAACCTCTGCTGTGCTCTCTTCACCAGGTCTTTGCTGTTTTCTCCCCAGGTTAGGTCGTCTCTCAACTCCATTCCCAGAAATCGAAACACCGAGACCTGTTCCACGCACTTCTCCTCAATAATAAGTGGCTGAATATTCAACTTACATTTCCTAAAGTCCACAATGATCTCTTTTGTTTTCTTTAAGTTAAGGAGTAAGTTGTTTTTCCTGCACCACTCCCCCAACTGCTCAACTTCCTTCCTATAGGCCGCCTCCCCCTCTCCAGCCGTGATTAAACCAACCACCATTGTATCATCTGCGAACAACCCTTCATGTGGATTACTGGACTCTGAACAGACAGATGGAACAGATACTTATACATGTATGGACCTTATGCATGAACTGACTAGAGAATGAACTGATCCACTGGGTCTTCTGCTTTTTTCGTTGAACTTTATGAGACTTCTGTTGAAATCTACAAATTGATACAATGAATAGTATACCTTATTTATTGAAAAGTACAGCCTATCACAGAATAGAGCCAGTGTAGTGTAGTGGTTAAGAGCAGTGGACTCGTAATCTGGTGAACCGGGTTCGCTTCCCTGCTCCTCCACATGCAGCTGCTGGGTGACCTTGGGCCAGTCACACTTCTTTGAAGTCTCTCAGCCCCACTCACCTCACAGAGTGTTTGTTGTGGGGGAGGAAGGGAAAGGAGAATGTTAGCCGCTTTGAGACTCCTGAAAGAGAGTGAAAGGCGGGATATCAAATCCAAACTCTTCTTCTTCTTCTTCTTAATCAGAGGAATTATTGGCTTGCCTTAGATGAAATCTCCATGAGGCCTACCCCTAGTTGAAGCAGGACCTCCTGAAGTACTCTGGGGCACCTCTTCAGCTCAGAAGCCAAACTGAAGTATCTTGTGATTGTTAGGCTACATGCCTTTGACAAACTCCGTTGACACTTCGCTCTTCTGTAGTCTGCAAACAGAAGCAGCTGTTCTGAATGCAGATCACAGGCATCAGCCTCCTCTAGTGTTGTTAAGGCAACTAGACAAAGCAAGCTGCTAGCTTTCACATTATGCCTTTCCTTGTTAGCCAGTGCCCTCTGAAAAGAACTCCTTAACACTCTTTTTTTTTTTGTCTGGTAGAACCATCAAAACAAGGAATTATCTGAATTAAATAGAATTAGGTTTAATAAATTTGCAGAAATTTATTTGCTCAAATTAGAGTCTCAATTTCACACGTTCTGGGTAGACATGTTTTCTCTCTGCAGGCTTCTCTAAAATACAAGAAACGCAGGAAGTGGGAAAAGAAGGAGGAAGTGAATTTGAAAGAGGAGGATGTTTGAAGAAGGCAAAAGCAAAAGGGACCAAGCAGTAAAGTTTTGGGTGGAATAGATGTTAATAAGAAGAAGGATTGAAGAATGAAAAGAACAAGAGGTAACATACAGGTAGGGCAAAATAAGAAAGACAGAAAATGGCAAAGTGGTCATTTAAAGAAGAAAAAGGTAAAAGTTTAAACATGAGTCAAGAAATGAGAATCCTATGAAATAAAGAACAAGGAGAACGAAGAAATCTGTTTTCATCTTACATTTGTGAAGAGGAGGCTTGTATGGTCAGAGCCAAAATTATGGCACCAGACGACAGAAAATTCCCAAAGCTGCTGTAGCCTACTTGCTTTAAGAAATGGCATGGGTTTTACCTCAAAAGAACTTTTTCAAATTGTGAGCCACTGTGATATAATATCATTTCTACTCAATTTTCTCTTGTGCTCTCCAATAAAATGCCAATCTTGTTATGCTTGCAGGGTTCCTGGATACTGGCCACCCACACAGAATTATTTAATCAGTCTTATCATGGAGATGTTCCTTGGCTCACTTTTGAACTTGTCAAGTCAAAGTTTGAAAGCAAGCCATCTATAATTATTTTTTAATTTCAAGCACATCTTTCAGAGCTTTTGAAAGTGTGTCTGAGACAAGCAGCTCCTGAAAAGACCAACTTTAATACCTAATCAAGTCTTTCAGAAACCCCCCA